CTGAACCGCAGTTGATCTTAAAGGATTTTAATTCCCACGGTACAGGCTGGGGAGAGCTGTACACTCAACATCATCTATGACCTATGCGACAATTTTAACATGACTATTTTAAACACCGGAGAAGTAACACGAATAGTCAAACCTCCAGCAAAAGAGAGCAGATTGCATTTGCCACTCACTATCATTGGATTGCATGTGGGAGGTAATCCAAGACCCCTATGGTAGTGATCATTGGCCCATCAAAATCTCGATCTCTAATGGTTCATCTTCGCAACATCCAATCAACATCGCATACGATCTCACGAGAAACATCGATTGGGAAAAATATGCGAACGCGGTCCGTGGTGGCTCAGAATCGGTCGACGTTTTCTCTCCTCTGGATGAGTACTCCTTCTTATCTTGCCTCATCGTGGATTGCGCGCTACAAGCTCAAACGAAGCCAGTTCCTGGTGCTTCCATTCGTAAACGTCCTCCCACTGTGTGGTGGGGCAAGGAATGCACCAACGCGAATGATGAGAACCCAAGTAACAATTTCGGTTTTATAAGGGTTCTATAAACCATGATTTAGACTTATAGCATGCTTTTAAACCTCCATAAAATTTGAAATGTTACTTGGGAAGTCATCTGCGTTTAAACAACTTCGTAAGCACAGTTCCTACGAATACTTTGAGCGGTATACGGCGCTGGAGGAAAAATTCAAGAGCTTGATCAAGGCCAAAAAACGCGGCTACTGGCGTCGGTTCGTCGAAGGGTTAACGCGACAAACTTCCATGAAAACGCTCTGGAATGTCGGCAGGAGAATGCGTAACGCGCCATCGTCGGTCAATGAGGACAAGGAGTACTCTAACAGATGGATTTTTGATTTTGCGCGCAAAGTTTGCCCTGATTCGGTTCCGGTCCGAAACAACACCTGCGATACGTCGGTGGAAAAGAATGACATGGAATCCCCGTTTTCAATGGTTGTATTCTCAATTGCTCTTTTTTCATGCAACAACTCGGCTCCGGGAATGGATCGAATTAAGTTCAACTTGCTCAAGAACCTCCCAGACGTCACTAAGAGGCGCTTGTTGAACTTGTTCAATCAATTCCTGGAGCACAACGTTGTTCCGGACGATTGGAGACAAGTGAGAGTTATAGCCATTCAGAAACCCGGTAAACCCGCGTCGGATCATAACTCATACCGTCCCATCGCGATGTTGTCGTGCATTCGGAAATTGTTGGAGAAAATAATTCTTTTTCGTCTGGACAAGTGGGCGAGGCGAATAACTGAAATCCAATTAGTAGATGGGTTCAGTTTTCTTGGACATTAAAGGGGCTTTTGATTCTGTTTGCATCGACATCCTTTCGGACAAACTCCATACCAGTGGGCTTTCACCAATTATCAATAATTTCTTGTACAATTTACTGCCCGAGAAACAAATGAGCTTCTCTCATGGCAACTCGGCAATTTCACGAATTAGCTACACGGGTCTTCCTCAGGGCTCATGTCTAAGTCCCCTTCTGTACAACTTCTATGTTAAAGACATTGACGATTGTCTTGCCGAAAATTGCACGCTAAGGCAGCTTGCAGATGACGGCGTGATCTCCGTTGTTGAGCCAAAAGCACCGGACCTGCAAGGACCATTACAATATACCCTGGACAATTTGTCTACATGGGAAATTAATCTGGGTATCGAATTCTCTCTGGAGAAAACTGAGATGGTTGTTTTTTTCTAGGAAGCTTTATCCAGCACAGTTGCAGCTTCAACTTATGGGTAAAACAATCACTCACAGCATGTCTTTCAAGTATTTAGGTGTCTGGTTCGATTCCAAATGCACTTGGGGAAAACACGTTGCGTATCTGAGTCAGAGGTGCCAACAAAGAATCAATTTTCTTCGTTGTATTACCGGCACTTCGTGGGGAGCCCATCCGGAAGATCTGATAAGGCTTTACAAAACCACCATTCTATCGGTTTTGGAGTATGGTAGCTTTTGCTTCCAATCGGCGGCGAACACCCACATCTTGAAGCTGCAACGGATTCAATATCGTTGTATACGAATCGCACTAGGTTGTATGCATTCGACGCATACAATGAGTCTGGAAGTACTTGCGGGCGTACTTCCCTTACCAGATCGGTTCGCGGAATTGTCGTTTCGGTTCCTTATCCGCTGTGAAGTCATGCTTGAGAAGCTGCTTGATCGAAATCCGCAAACACGATTCATGAGCTTGTACTACGAGTACATGACTCTGGAAATTAGCCCCTCCCCGTTCAATACCAATGAAGTATCCCACGATTTCAGTTGTTATTCCGTAAGATTCGATTTCTCAATGAGGGAGGAAATTCAAGGAATACCAGAGCCCCATCGCCCCCTGATTGTACCATCCATCTTCGCGATCAAATACCGCCACGTCAATGCCGAGAAGAGATTTTTCACTGATGGGTCCCCAATAAATACGTCCACTGGTTTTGGTGTATACAATGATCTCCATAGTGCCTCATATCAGCTTCAGAAACCATGTTCGGTATACGTTGCGGAACTATGAGTTGTATGCGTTAGAGCAGATCTCCTCACGTCCCACTGATCACTATTTAATTTTTTCGGATAGTCTAAGTTCTCTGGAGCACTCGACGTATTTCCTGAATTACGATCGTCACTGAGTGCTTTATCAAGCAGCTCACATATCATCACCTTAGCATGGGTCCCTTCTCATTGATCTATCCCGGGCAATGAGAAAGCAGACTCGCTGGCTAAGGTGGGCACTATGGAAGGCGACATTTACGAGCGACAAATCGCCTACAATGAATTTAATACAATTGCTCGACAGCAACAAAAGTGAAATGATGGTGAACTGGGAAGATGGTTACATTCGATCCTCCCACAGGTGTCGATCAAACCCTGCTTCAAGGGATTGGACGTGGCTCGCGATTTTATCCGGGTAATGTCAAGGCTCATGTCCAATCACTACTCGTTAAACGCACACCTCTACCGCATAGGGCTTGTAGACAGCAGTTTGTGTGCCTGTGGAAACGGCTATCACGAAATCGAGCATGTTGTCTGGTCCTGCACCTCACATCATGTGGCCGAACTAATTGAATCTCTCAGGGCCCGAGGAAAACAACCTTATACACCAATTAGAGACGTGTTCTGGCTTGCCGTGATCTCGATTGTATGAGATTAATTTACGTATTTTTAATAAGTGCTGCTTTGTGTATTTAGTAGTGTTTTGTGTTTTATTTTTTTTATCACTATCCCAACCCAAGTCCTCTCTTGTATCATTTTAGCTGTGCTTTCAATGCTTCGAGATCCACAGCACATGCCCGCCAATACAGTGCAGTGACAATCATACGTCCCCTTCCAATCCTCTAAAAAAATGTATTTATTTATCTCGAGTAAACCGCGAGTATTCGACCCCCATTCTACTAACTTTAGTTGTAAAAAAATTTATAAGAAATTACATTCAAACTAGTTTGGCTCCGCAAAGCTACCGCATTTGAGCCTTGACAAATAAATGAATTATAAAAAAAATCTCTTAGTGAAGCGTGTGAGATGTTTGCTAAACACTTTGTATCTGACTTCGATAAAAATATGACAAGTGACGTTGAAGCTGAATCTGCTGTCTCTGATACGCCTAGTGATTTAGTGGAACTGAGCACATTCGAAGTAACTCGGGATATGGTACTTTCAGCAGCAAGGAGACTGAAAACCTCAGCTGCCTTTGCAGAACTTTTAGCAGCCATATTTAATGCATCCTTTGGGCAAGGAAAATTTCCAACATTCAATCCTTTACGACTACTGCATTGACAATGTAACGCTTCGCAGAATAGAACGTATGACTGATCTTGGTGTTCTTCTGGACCCAAAGTTGACCTTCAATCTTCACTATTCCTCGATCATCTCTAAGGCGAATCGTCAACTAGGATTTATTTCGAAGATTGCACGAGATTTTAAAGACCCTCACTGCTTAAAGACACTATATTGCTCTTTAGTTCGGCCCATACTTATATACGGTATCTGTGGTCTGGTCTCCATATGAGCTAGTGTGGAATCGCCGAATAGAACGTGTTCAAAAAAAGATTTTTGAAGTTGGCTTTGCACAACCTGCCGCGGCGCGATGACTATTGATTTATTGATGTTTAGATTTAGTACTTGTCATGTTTAGTTTAGGTTACATCATTGGGGCCTATGACGCCTGTTGATGCTTAGTTATAAAAAAACTAGGCGCCATGTTGAATCTATGATCTATCCCCCTGAGTAAAACACCACGTACCATGCGCCTCCATTGTTAGGTCTTTCATACCGTACTCCAATAATGCCAAAACTGATCCAACGTGAAAATACCAGATGAAGTTCATTCGTTTTCATATCTCAGCTGTGTTGGTCATCAGAGCCAATACAATGCCACTGAAGTCCGGTGTAATATGACTCCGATAAAATAGCACCCGAATGATAATATTTTTCAACACACTCAGCATTGCAACCAGCAATATCTCGCAGTCGTCGATAGCATTGATGTTATTATAGTCATGTTTCGAGGAAAGTAGCTAGCGACTCCATGTTCCGATTTGGTTTCTTTCACGTCATGAAAAGAAACGCCACCGAATCGCATTTTCTCCGAAACGGAAATAAAAGTATACAGCAAACCCCTTTGATGCTCTTCTGGGAGCTCTGTGTTTGTGCAGTCTACCAGCATAACGCTGATATTGTAGCTCTCGGGTGTTGTTCGTGGTGCTGCGGTAGAACCTTTTACTGGCGATATTAGGGAATGGCTTTTTTGTGTGTGTGTGTGCTGAAGAGATAACAGTTTCATTTGCCGTACCCGAGTGGATAGGTGGTTCTGCTAGTGACAGCGTGCGAAGGCAGGTTTGCAAACATTGTGCCCAGATTTTTGGCCACAATCCAAAAAAAAACGTAAGCTTCTGTTTGGCGATGGCAAACATTTTATCTCGCCGTAGCTCGGCTTACATTTTTTTTTAATAAAAAGGAAATCCAAAGCTTATCTGCTTCGTGTGTAATCTTACCTCAACTGGTGGTGGGGCACTTCTATATGAAGGAACTATCTTAAACGTAACGGAACCGCGTGCATCCCGCAGCATGCGCTGTAATTGACTAACGGTCTGGTGCTGCACCGGTTGGCCGTTGATTTCCCGGATCTCGTCGCCGACGTGCAGCGTCGCCTGCCGGTGGATCATGCCACCGTGCATGATCCGGGCCACGATGCACCGGCCGTCCTCGGTCATCTTCAACGTTATACCCTGGAGAAATTAGCAAAGAATGGGCCAAATGAGCGTGATCCTTTTGTGCAGGAGATAATTAGACTTCTGTTTCTTTACCATCGGTTCGTCGGTGTTCTTCTGGAACTGCACCAGCCGGACGCGCGTGACGTGCGGCAGGTCGCCGGCTTCACCGTTGTCGATATCGTCGTTGCCTCCATTTAGGTAGGGTGCGATCGGTGGTGGTGTTACTCGTAGCGCTTCCTCGCCGTATACTTCTCTAGCTACCACGTCATGCGTGTGTAATAGAGCCTGAAACGAATGCAAAAGGAAAACGGAGGAAATTAGGTTCCAGGACTTCATCAAACTAGACAATTACTCAAACAACAAGAACAACGTTCTGCAGGTTATTTAAATTTGCTCACTTTTCGGAGCGAACGCAACGAGCAATTATTCACTTTGTCCGTTCTTTAGATCTGAGACGTGCAGTCCGTGGAAAATTGCTCGTTTCCCGTGTCGGAAAAGGAACGCATTTCCACCGTATTGTGTTGCAGCAGAGAGCGGGTCCTTTATAAGATAACAAACTACTAGAATGCTGGCAGCAGCTGCTGCTGCTGCTGCACCCGGTTGGGAACAAAAATGAACGAAGACTTTGTTATGCAGGCTTCCTCATGTTTCTGCCATTAGCTATTCTAGGGCAACGAAAAAAAAATATGTTTTTTGAAAAAAGACGCTGGGGTGCATTTGCCAAGAATCTAGATAGCAGCACAGACGGAATCAAAAAGCACTTTGAATAAATAACTTAAATTAGGAATTTCGCTCGGTGTGTTTGTGCGGTTCCCCCGGAAGATGGCACGGAGTTTATTTAGTCTCAGAAGTAGTTCGTTTGAATGTCGTTCGGTTTTGTTTCCTAGCTCGGGGGGAAATTTAGTGTCTCTTCTGATAGAAACCGGTTTGGTTCGCGTGGCACTTTATATGCAACGACGAAGACGACGGCGAAGTGGCGAGAATGATAAATTGCATAGCTTTGGTGGTTATTCGGAGTGGATTGCGGAATGACGGAGCAGTTCCCGGGGTGAGATTCAATTATCTGGCAGAATGAATTATGCGGATGATGTGGATTTTCGATAAGGACCATTTGATGGGAGTGGAGCAATCTGCTTTATCCGAGATGGCAGACCTTATTTTGTTTTATATTTCAGCATTTTCAGCAAATAAAAAAGAATTAATACCAGATTCGACCTTCTCCGATTTGCATAGTAGTTTGTTGTGGCGTATCACTTACATTTGGGCTTAAATTTGCAAACAATATTCAAAATGGTGTTCAATATTTTTCAACAAATCATAACTTGAAAATGTAATTTACCATTTAAATGCCGTCTGAGGCTTAGATGTAGAAAAAATATTCCCTTTTGAGGTAAAAATATAGACGGAAATATTAAAATAATTTTAGGCAATACAGTGTTGTATGTATGTACGTAAGATAGCCACCATCTCTTCGAAGATCTTGTCTTGTATGCAGCTCCACTTGGGGTTAATGCATGTATTATGTCACGCTCTAAGCCCCCTAAGATTTTATGACAAACAATGAATTAGGTATAGGAAAAACGTCACGATAGGGGGGGAGGGGAGGGGGTAAGGTTTTGCTCGATTTAGCGTGACATAATTATTGCATGGGCCCTTAATAGCAAGATCAATTTGAGCTACCGATTTGAATTCCCAAATATCGCTGCATGAAGGGCCAAAAACGAAACGGAAGCAGAGACACGCGAAATCCACGGGAATTTAAGAATCTCCTTCCAACGATACGATCCAAAAAATCGAATAACGCAATTCTCATTACTTACTAAGCTTCCTACACACTTAGATTTTTTTACAGTACACTGTAATTTTTTACCGAATATGAAACAGCTGAACATTCGGTAATCTATTCGGTAATTTTTTTTATTTAAAATCCGTTCAGTAAATTTTCTTCCTTTGGAGCTGTCAAAATTTGCTGACCTGGACTGTATATTTTGCTGAATGATCGGTAAAGTTTGCAGTAGCGTTTAGTATAATGTTTACCGAAATGAAGATTCATTTGGCTCATAAAAACTAATTTTTGTTTTTATATTTTCATCGTGCGTCCGTTCAAAAATAATATTCTCTCTACTCAGTGTCAGTATACAGCACACAAACTCGGCACTTGAAAGCCCAGTAATGAAAAAGAATTATACTTTCAGCGAATGGATTGTAGTAAAAAAGTAAAGTTTAACAACGGAGCACAGAAGAAAACTCATCTTAGAAATAGCAGCAAAAGTTGGGTTTGATATTATGAAGTTTACAAATGTTTCCCATGGATAGTTCGTTTAACATTGCCGAAAAATTCTCCTATTTTTCTGGAATGTTTTCTCAACTTTCACTGGAGGTTTCACTCTACTTCCCCGATAGAGGTACTTCCAACAGCTCTCGATAGATCCTCCCGACAGCCTCGGAAGTCCTTCTGATTTCTTCGCGAAGTGTGTCTTTCAACTTTCATCGCGTGAAGATTCTTCCTGCTAGAGGTTTCATCTGACTGCCTCCGGAAACCCTTCTGGCTTCCGTCTTCAATTTTCTCCAAAAATTCCCTTTGACCTTCTGCAGGAAGTTTTTAATGTCTCCTTCAGGAAGCTCACCGGAAGCTTCTAGAAAAATATATTTCAACTTCCTATGGATATTTCTCGAGACTTCCCCGAAGGTTTTTGTTTTAAACTTAAGCTAGGTTCTCTTGGAAGATTCCTATGATATCTCTAAAGACTTTCATCCGAAATTCCCTGCTGGCTTCAATTGGGAATTTTGTCACCATTTTTCTCCATACTTTAATTAGTTTTTTTTTTACCGACATTTCCGGTAGTTTCATTAGACTTCTCTTGATTTTTTCCACAACTTTCTTATCTCCTCTGAAATTGTCCTCTATCTTTCCGGATGTTTCTTACAACTTATCCAGAATGTTTTTCGATCAAATTTTCCCGAAAACTTTCTTCCAACTTGTGGAACTGAATTTATGTTACTTACACATTTTTCTCGGTGTTCACTGAACTGAATTAAGTGGAACGAGTTTCAGATTGTGTGTTTCTTGCTTATGTAGATCCTTATGAAAATTTTATCCCGATCGGATATCTGGTTATGGAGATAAAGTGTGTCACAGTCAAAATCGTCCACCAGTATATTTTATTTTGAAATTCATAAACTGCTAAATAATGAAAAAGGTCTATTATTTTTATAGAATCAATTAATTGCACGTTTCAACAGTTTCACATTCACATAGTTATCATCTCTTTTAAAATTACAAAGAATTGGTAAACATCAACAAGACAATAGCAATATCAAAAATTCCTCACAGTGAAAATCGTCCAGTAAGTTTAGTTGGTTTCAAAACTCAAAACTTTTGAATCGTAAGATTTAAGATTAGTAACGAATCGGCAATCCTTTGTTCTTCAAAACCTCAGTGAGTCGATTTGGCATGGATCGAACGAGTTTTTCATTGTAAGAAGTGGATAGATTCTTCCATTCGAACTCCAATGAACGTTTCAAAAACTCTTTGTTTGGAATTCCATGCTTTCTGATGTTGACGTCCAACTGAAGACATTGAGATCTGGCGATTGCGCAAGTGGGTTCATGACTTTTGGGCAATTCTGAATCAACCAAGCCGTCGGATTTGCTGCAGTATGCTTCGGGTCGTTATCCTGATAGGGTTTTTGATATAATTTTCGTCCTACTAAGCACAACCTGCACTTTACCTATCTTTTCTGAACCATTTTCAACAAAAAAGGGAATATTTCTGTTAAAGATGACTTCTAAATTTATACACCTTTCCGCACGTACAGTTGGATTTGATAAAGAGTCACAAATTGTTGAGATATTGTCTAAAATCTAACACTGCTTCTTGATTCTAAATTCGTTCTACGAGTTTCAATTCCGTCCTAACGCATTGAAATGCCTTAAGATTTTCTTCGTCTTTTGTTTTGTGAACAATGAGCGTAAATATTTATACAATGTGCTCTAATAGGATTTATGTTGTAGCTAATGAACTAACGCATCGGAACTAACCTATTATAAATTTGTGCACGGTGAAATCATTGATATTATTGATCTTTTCTGATCGATAGAACGGAAATGGGCGATTACGACGAAGTAGTGCTCAACCCTAGAAGTGGAAAGTTCTCGATATTCCTAACTTTTTTGAGCTGGCCTTGACATTCTTCTCTTCATTAATATGTCCAGATAAACATATTGATCCACACACGTGGAAAAATCTAATCTTACACGTGACGGAATCCATCTTTGACATAAAAGATGAGACGTAAATAAACATGTCATGTCAAATTAAGAGCTCCGAAACTAAATGGTTCTAAAATACGTTTGATTAAGCTGAATTTCGTTGTGGGGTTTTTTTTTCAATGTTTGTTTTCAAGATGAATAGAAATAATTTCATGCTTTAGGATTAATTAAATAGTTGTATCGTAAACCACATTTAAAACCTCCTTCTTCCCTTTTCCCATCCAAAAAATTGTAAATCTCCACTAACCTCGAGACAACCGCGAGTACTCGGTCCAGTTCATTTAACTTTAAATTTAAGACAGTAATAATGTATAACGCAAAGGATAACTCGGCTCTGTAAAGTTTATTCGATTGAGCCTGTACAAATAAATGAGTTATAAAAAAAAGCTGAATTTCGCGTCTATTATGACTCAATTTTATGTCAAAATTGACACTCATATAAGTCCCCAAATAACAATTTCCAGTTGAAGAAACGCTTTCGTTTTGATTGTGTTCAGCTGCATGTTGAATAATAATTGCACAATGTGTTCACCACAACTTTTATAAAACCCTTGTTTACGCTGGTTTGGAGAACCTATACAACTGCAACACAAAGGTGTTGTCTAACGTATTCAGTAAAACGTTTACCCAAAATCAATTTCTTGTTGAAGAAACGCTTCCATTGTGATTTTATTCAACTGCATGCTGAATAATAACTGTACAATTTGTTTATTACAACTTCTGTAAAACTCTTGTTTACACTGGTTTGGAGAACCTGTTCAACTACAGCATTATATGTATACGCGGTATAGGAGTAGAAGCAACTTTTATACAACGTTTATAGATACATATTTAAAGTCAAGCTTTATTGTTTTGGAGAAAGCTCTTATACAACGTTTGTAGACACTTCCTGACAGCTGCTTTGAAATTTAGTAGAGAGTAAACCTGAGAGGCGTTTGTTGCACTCTTTTATGACTCCTAAATAATCATTGTACAGCAAGCGGTGAAAAGCGTTTATAGCACTTTTCAATGAC